AATCGACCCCCCCCCCTATCCTTCTTGGCCAGCAGGTTGCGAATAGCCGTGCAAAAGGAAGTAGAGACAGACTCATACAAAAGTACGTCTTTTTTTCTTTCTTGCATTCTTCCCCTATCATTCCCTTCTTGGCTTTTTTTTTGGGGGGTTTTGAGGGTGGAGAAGGCAGTTGATTTAATATTTGGTGCTCTCGCTGGCGTTCAGGTCGTGTTTCACCACCAGGCAGTGGCATCGGGCGTGTTCGATTTCCCCTGTGGGCGGTATGGCGGAATTCGACTTGATGGACGATGCGGAGGAGGTCGTGCACCCCCTCTGCCTCTGCCTGAACCAAGACTCCTCGCGTGTCGGCGTGGGCCATGCCAAGGGATACGTCGTCTACCGCGTCCACCGCCACAATACGAACGTAACTGCTGCTGGCGGTGGTGGTGAGAAGAGTGTGGAGGGGGCGATGACGTCATTGGGGACGCCTTTCTGTACAACAGTTGAGGTGGTATTCCCGCAGCGTAGGGCCACAGCCGCCTCGACGCCGACGTCGTGGGATGTGGCGCTGGGCACGCCACAGCGATCTCTCTCGGCGCGCGTCAGAAATGAGCGGGGTGCGCGTCAGAGGGATGAAGCGGAGGTAACCGGCGGCGATCCGCTGATTGCCGAACTCACCCAAAGTCCAACACAACCGTGCCTGCCAGGTGTAGAGGGCGACGATGTCGCAGGAAACCAGCAGCAGCAAGGCGGTGAGGCTGCCGCCGACGGCACAGCTGCTACTTCCGCGCTGTTTTCGTCCAGCTCCATGTCAACGCTGCCGGTGGTGCATAGCACGCATTTGGTGCGGCCGTCAAGCGACGAGCAGCTTGTGCCGACGGAGGCGGGCGTCGGTGTCATGGCGCTGCTGTACAAGACGCAGTTTGTCGCGGTTGTCGGTGGCGGCCCGTACCCAATCGGCCCGGGCAACGTTGTGAAGCTGTTCGTCACGGGCAGCATGTGGGCCGACCGCCAGGTGCGCGTGCCCGACACGGTAGAAGGGCTACGGCTCGATCACCGTCTAATCATTATCCTCACCACTGCGGAGCTGCGGCTGCACAGCTTCGAGACGCAGCAGTGTGTTTTCTCACTGCCGCTGCGGAAGGACGCCGTTGCCCCTGGGATCTCGTCGGGGCTCGGTGCCAGTGGATCTGTAGCAGAGCAATGGCAGAGTGGCGCGGCAAGTGCGGCGGAGTTTGCTGCCGCCATGCGACACCTCGCACCGCTCGCGATTGACTACGGCAAGAAGTGCCTCTCTTTCCGCAGCTCTGCGCGTGGTTTCAGCTTGGTACGCTACGATGCAGAGTCATCGATGGGAAGCTGGATGGGCGCTGAGCTGCTGGCAACCGTGCCGTTCGCACACGAGCACAGACTTGCCTCGCTGACGATGGATCTTAGCACCCTTTCGGGGTGCAAACGCTGGCACATCGCCACCAGCAGCGAGCATGCAACGCTGATACGTATCTGGCGCTACTGCGAAAGAACGGACACCTCGTCCCGTGGGGGGGATGCTTCTGCACCTGCCAGCGTCGGTGTCGGTGAGGCGCCCCCAAGAAGTGACGGTGAAAATGATGAGAACCAGCTTCCTGGTTACTTTGTGAAACTAAAGCAGGTGCGCAACGCGACACTGCCAACGCCGATATACCAAATGCAGTTCCTTGGGGAAGCCTTTCTCTTCTGTATCTCAGGGAATATGCTTAAAGTGTTTTTTGTCGGCGAACGTGAGGAGGCGAAGCCGTATGACGTCAGCACGAAGGACCCGAGCAAGGTTATTCGCGCGCAGAATAACCACTCGTCACTGCACCATCTTGGGGTCGTGTCGGAGTACTTCCAGTCCGAGTGGGCCGCCTGTGAGTGTCTGCTACCGTTGACAGACAATACGTTTCTCCCGAAGTGGGTGCAAGCCACCACCGGCGCGCAGCGGCTGCATCTTCTGCGCGGCCTTGGCTCCCTTAGAAGCCCCAACGAGCAGCTGGGCATCGCGTCTCGCGAGCAAGCCATACCTCCTGCTGATGCCGGCACAGAGGAGAGCTTGTTCCTGAGTGGTGGCTCGCAGTGTCAAGGACAAATGACGCAGAGCGTGCACTCAACGCAACACGCAGAGTTCAGCCTGTCGGGGGACTGGGGCTCTGGGTTTCGCCGCTATGTTTCACAACAGGTGGTGCCGGTGATGGAGAGTGCGAGTCGTATTGCGATGAGTTACTGGGTGTTTGGCGGAGGTGGGCAAAGCAACTCCAGAAGCAGCGGCGCTGCAGAGTCGCAATCGGGGTGTGCGATAGATCGCAACGGTGGTGCAGATGGCGGTGGTGGTGGCAGTGGCAACCTGCACGTGCAGCGGGACTACACAACTGTGACAGAGGTCGCGCAGTCGCTCGTTGTGTGGTGGGAGCGGCCGGCGTACTGGCAGCTGGACCGGATGATAAATGCCTCGACGCAGGACTACCCTCGAACTGGTGGTGAGACTGGCACTGGTGGTGTACCGGTGCTGCTGCAGAAGCAGGGTGGCGGCAAGGCAGTGCTGTACTGCGTCACATGCGACGGCAGCGCCGTCAGCTTTGTCTTTGATCCTATTGTGGGGACAATTGAGTGCAGTAGGGCGGCTGAGGGCTTATCCTGCTCTGCGGCAACGTAAATAGTGCTCTTCTTTTTTGGTGAATTGGTGTGGTCAAGGCGGTGGATTTCATTGTTGTTTCTTTCGATTACTACTTGTACACGTGATCGCAGTTTGTGGCCATGTGATTGCTGGCGTAAGTAT